GTTGCCCTGCTACATGATAGGGCTGTAGCAGCATCAACAAACCTCCAAATTTTTTTTAGTCCCTTGGGCCAATTTAAGCTCCTATGATGGCCTAATTGCAAGTACTACTGCGCTGATATACATGGTAACCCAACGTGTCCTAAAAAACTGACTGATATCTACAGCCTGACAAAATAGATGACCAAAGGAGGACTGCCTGGCATACCCAACATCAGCCCTGCTGCAAGACAAACAGCCAACCCAAGTGCTGTGCACCACAAAATTTTCCCTAACTGCACCAATGTTCCCATGAAAGGGAAAACATGAGAAGCAGCTCCAAGAATAACACTAGAACACCAAGGAAACTACTACCGATCTTGACTACCCTGGAGGATGCTGTCACATTACCCCTGCCAATTTGGATTCAGGCCTAATAAAAATACTAATGATGCTATTATACACATGCTAGAACATATATACACTGCAATAGAGAAAAAAGAAGTCCCACTGGGGATCTTCATTGACTTACGTAAAGCTTTTGATACAGTTGACCATGACTTGCTCCACGTAAAATTGTCACACTATGGTATTAGAGGGCACTCCCTCAACTACCTCAAGTCATACCTCAGCAACAGAAGCCAATATATGTACGCAAATGGGGCAAGCTCTTCCGCTCAACCAATTACAGTTGGTGTCCCACAGGGAAGTGTCCTTGGCCCTCTTCTCTTTCTCCTATACATAAATAACCTACCAAATGCTTCACAATTACTCAAACCCACACTTTTTGCAGATGACACTACATACGTCTTCTCTCACCCGAGCCCAGTCACGCTAGCCAATACTGTAAACACCGAATTACAGAAAATATCTACCTGGATGAGGACTAACAAACTTACACTAAACATTGACAAAACCTACTTCATTCAGTTTGGTAACAGAGCTACAGATGTACCTCTTAACATAACGATAAACAGATCACCTATCACAAAGCTAACAGAGGGAAAATTCTTAGGAATCCACCTTGATAATAGACTCAAATTTCATACACATATATAACAAATTTCTAAGAAAATTTCCAAGACTGTAGGCATACGATCGAAGATACGGTACTATGTTCCACAGTCAGCCCTCCTGGCCCTTTATCACTCTCTTATTTACCCCTATCTCACCTATGGAATTTGTGCATGGGGCTCAACAACAATTAACCATCTCAGACCACTAATTACCCAACAAAAGGCTGCAGTTAGAATGATAACAAATTCTCACTACAGGCAGCACACTCCACCAATATTCAAAACACTCAACCTACTCACCATACAAAACATCCATACTTATTATTGCACCTATTACATACATAGAACACTTAACTCTGATATTAACCCTCCCCTCAAACATCTCCTTGCCAACCTCAACAGAACACATGACCATAACACAAGGCACAGATCACTCTTTGATGTTCCTCGTGTCCATCTCACGCTATGCAAAAACTCAATGCACATAAAAGGCCCTAAAATCTGGAATTCATTACCTGTAAATATAAAAGAAACACTACCTGTTTATAAATTCAAGTCTCTTCTCAAAGATCACTTACTCACTCAAAACCAAATAAATACTGAATAACTGAACCTTATAAATTGTATATCCTAAATGTTACTCACAATTATATCACACAAATGTTAAACCTAGGACCCAATCTAACTTTATTATTTTTTTAAATACACTACCTAACAGAATACTCCATTCGACTGAATGTACAGCAATGCATGCAACCATATGACCTGTCTTTGTAATACTCATTTGTGCTTTATAGTTATCTGTTTACAATAATGTTTTATCACTGATTTCATCATTGCTTAGTTAATCTTAAGTTAATTTTAAGCCAGCCCGTAATGCTATGCATATAAGTGGCTTTGGCATGCTGCTCTTACCTGTATTTTTTTGTACCTCTGTATGTATGCTAAAATTACTAAATAAATAAATAAATAAATCTCCCTCACCCCTGCAGGCTGCACATCAACCTCTTCAAGACCTGTGGACACTGGCAGTCCACAGGGGAGTGTCCTTACTTTTCCTCTCTTTGCTGATGACAACTTTTATCATCGCCCATCCAAATTTAGCATCCCTCAACAACATTGTTAATGAAGAGCTTGTAAAATTATCAACCTGGATGAATACCAATAAACTCACATTTAACTTCGACAAAACCTACATTATGTTTGAAAACAGAGCAAGTAATGTTTAACTAAATGTTATGATTAGCAGTATAGCTATATAATGAAGGAAAATTTTGGGGTCACTTCCTTGATAGCAACTTGAAATTCAAAACCCATATCCAGCACTGTACATGTACAAGAAAAGCGTCCAAAACAGTTGGTATCCTCTCCAAGATACATTATATGTACCTCAAACAGTTTACAGTATACCTGGAGTTTACCTATTTGTGCCTAGTGATCCACAACAGTAAATCACCTCAAGCCAATAATAACTTTACAAAAGGTCGCAGTATGAATGATCATTCAGTCTACTGCCGGACAACACACACCCCCACTCTTCAAAGGCCTAAACCTACTTACCATACAAATCATTCATTCTTACCACTATGCATTCTACATTTACAGAACAATAAATTATAATATTAATCCTGACCTGAAGCACTTCCTTGATAGTTGTAACACAACCCAAAGACCTAATACTAGACACAAAAATATCTGACATACCTCCTGTCCAGCTTAATCTTTGTAAAAACTAAATGTGCATGAAAGGATCCAAAATCTGAAACTTCCTGCCAGAAATCTCCAGAGCCTCTTTCTGTCAGCATCTTCAAAGTTTCTGAAAAAAAAAAAAAAAAAAAAAAAAAAATACCTTTGCTAATATATCATGATATCATTACCATAAACATGAAAAACTATTTATATTCTTATTCTCATTACCTGTAATCATAATCCATCCTTAAGTAATAATTGACTGCTTGTTTGTTCACTTTGTAATTCCTAAATTTATTGTTTACAAACCCTTAATGGTCACCGTTGCCCAGCAGTAAGAGTAGTGACTCTCATTGCTGAGGTCCAGGTAATAAACCCTGGACATTAACATAAAAATTTTTTTTATAAATAAAATATAAAAAAAAAATGTTCTTATATATAAGCAATTAATTACTTATTGCAATTTTAGTTTTAAGTTAGGCTTAAGTTTGCCTGAAATTCTCTATGCTTTCTGCATGCACAACTAAATGTCACCCATCTTTGTACAGTATAAACATTGTATCGTGCTGAAATAAAATAATAATATTATTATTATTATTATTATTATTATTATTATTATTATTATTATTATTATTTGGGACAGATGGGCAAGTCTTCTTACATTTACTGCTACTGTTACCTAGAATTAAATAGATGCCTGAGAATTAGTCAATTTGTAAGTCATAACCATGGGGAGGACTTAAAAGGACCTCAGTGGGAATGTCACATTGATTGGCTTTATTGGGTTAACCTGGGTTCCTAACCTTTGAGGTTATTAATGTGAATAATGTCTTCTTATCCCCTTATGAATGTAATGATAAAAATTGATGAGATCATGTTTGAAGTTGGTTGGCTTGTAATAATAATATAATATAATACTTTTTATTTCTACATGATACAATGTATACAGACCTAGCTGACATTAGTGACATACTAAATAGAAAGTTCCTTGTTATGCAGAGCATTTTTGGGCAAATTAGGTTGATTTTGTCCCTAGGATGCAACCCATACCAGTCGGCTAACACCCAAGTACCTGTTTACTGCTAGGTGAATAGGACAACAGGTGTCTTAAGGAAACACACTGTTGTTGCCACCCATACCAGGGATCAAACCATGAACCTCTGTGTTAGCTGAGTGTGCTACTAACCAAAGGACCCAAATATTAAAATCAAGTAAAGACATATTAACCTGCACACCTAGCAGTGAACAGGTATCTAAGTGTTAGTCAATTGTTGTGGGTGGCATTCTGGGAGTGGATGATACTAGTGTACCTTAGTAGCAGCATGGGGAGGGGGATAGTATACATCAGGTATGCAACCCATCCTCCAAAAACTGTCACTTTAGTTGGATTAGGCTAGATTGAGTGACAGTGGAAAAACTGTAAATACAAGAAAAGATGATAGTCTTTCACTGAAACAGAAAATGGGCACTCATATGCAGCTGATGTAAAACAGTCATTCCAACTGTTCAAGTCTCCTTCAATAGTCACTCATTTGGCTGTTTTTGCAACTTAAACACCTCCAGCAACATGCATTGGTTCAATATTTTATATAGTTAAAATAAGTTTCAACCGCATAATGCACTATTAGTGTATACCTACATCTGTGTGTCCTCATAACTTAAGTGTTCATGGTTTCAATGGTAGTGCCTTTGTCTCCCATCTGAAGGACCTGGGAATGATCTTGGCAAATAGGGAAATGGTGGGCTTGTTTCCTTATATCTTTTGCCCCTACTCACCTAGCACTAGTTACTTTGTATTCAGAGGAAGAGGATCAAAGGATCCCATTAGAAATTAGCGAAACTGAGTGACTTGCTTGGGTTATGCTGGGCTATATAGTAAACCCTCCTGGTTAATAATGTGGATAAAATTTTGTTGTATAAAGTTTTACTACTTTGTAAAATCATTTACACATTTCCTAAATATATAAAGCTTGTCTTAACATAAATCATTACTTTCAAAGGTTATTTAAGGCTTATTGTACAGGCTTGTTAGTCCTAAGCTTGTTAAAATTTTAGATGCTGTACTTTCAACGAGGTGCCTTGGTGTTGGTAAAGGGCTCTTGAGCCAAGGAATTAGAGATTCCCTACCCTTTCTTAGAGTACAGATTACCTCCCATTCTCCAGGTGCTGTATAGCCTTATAGATCTATAGATTTAGTGTTACCCCATGAATATATTCATTTCAATATTAGGGCTAGAATTTAGGGAAGTTGATTAGAACTGATGAGATTTTGCAATGTACTGGTATTATATTAGGATCTTTGTGCTTAGATTAACATTTTGTTGCGTAACTCTATCATAATGCATAAAAACTGTGTACTGTATGATTATAGATTGTGTTAGAAGAGAGAGAGAGAGAGAGAAAGACAGCCAAGATGAGTAATGTAAAGATGACCCAGTTTGTGCTGGAGCTGAAGTCTCGGCATGAGGAAACACGAGTGAAGGCTGCTTGTGACCTTCAGCGCTATGTCACTACTGAGCTGAGGGAGGTGGGTCTAATATTTATTTTGCCTTTAATACTTCTTGAACTGTTAGGATTTTATATAATCAAGAACAACAATATTGTATTAATGTTTGACATACATGAAAGTTTGTGCAGAATCTAAAATTCTAGTTAGCCAATTCTGTGGCAAAACTCAAAAAAAATATCAAATTTCAAGACTGGTTTATAAAAGACCTGGACTGTGCAACATTAAGTAATTTTATCAAGTAAATATCTTGTCCCTGGTGAGCAAAATTGCTACTTTAATAAAGTTACTTAATATTTCACAGGTGACTAAACATTTGTCATTATCATGTTAAGTTTGAGTACTAGTGGGAAGAGCAAGAACTTTACTATAATGTAATGCTCTGATTCTATGTATGTGAGTTATTGTGAAGCTGTAGGATACCTTGTGCCACAGTGATAAATGTTATGATTTTATATCACTTTAGTAGCATTCAGTAAGAAGTATAATACCAAGTTGATGGCCAAGACACATGTGCAACACTTGGGTATCTTTATGTGACCTACACAGCAAGCTTTGCCAGTCTAATACAGTGGCATGAGGTCAGAAGCTTTTATACCTCTTATAAAATAATGCTTGTCTAACAGCAATACCATGGAATCTTGGCACAGAGAATATCTCATACTACAGCATTGCTAAACCTCTGGCCCAAGATGTGGACCTGTCCTACCTCTGCTAGGGGTCCTCACCCACATGTGACCATGTCTTTAACTGCTGCATCTCATCACTTCTTCCACTGGTTTCAATATATAAGTCTCTGTCCTCATGCATCTATACTGGATTCATAAATCCTGCTGGACAGGCAAAAATGTCTTGGTAAAATCCCCAGGTGTTTCATGTGTGTCTTAATCATTGTACTTTTTCACTGTGAGTAGCTGTATTTATGTTGAGGAGACTGATCTGACATTCAGGCCAAAAAATACCTGATCTACCCTATGTGTTTTAGGAATATAGGTAGTCTCTTGTACTAAGATAATGTAATGTTCAGTTAATATACTTGATAATTTATAAGTTAAGCACATTATTCTCTATTAAAGTTTCTTAAGACATGCAACTTTTTACACACAATCTTAAATTTATTGTTTGGATAATTGGATAACTTGTTCAGTGTTTGAAAATGAATAATGAAAAACTGGAGGAAGTGTTTTTTTTATATATGGTGTACTGTATTGTAGCATATTGATTTTATTTAGAATTTTATACTTACTGTATTTATATATTAATATACTGTACTATTTACTCCCAAAGGTCTCCCTTGATGAATTGGTGTCATTCCTGGATGAGTTCAACCATCACATCTTTGAAATGGTATCTTCAAATGACATCAATGAGAAAAAAGGTGGCATTTATGCTATAAGTAAGTAGAGTATAATGCTGTATTAGGATTGTAGACAGCTTTTCTAATTCATAACTTTTAATAATAAGTATCCACCTTGACAGTAGCCTTAAGTTCCGGACACACACACAACAAATCACCAAGAAAATCTCCAAGACTGTAGGCATACTATCAAAGATAAGGTACTACATTCCACAATCAGCTCTCCTCACACTGTACCATACATTCATATACCCTTATCTTACATATGGAATTTGTGCATGGGGATCAACAACATCCAATCACCTAAAACCCCTCATAACCCAGCAAAAGACAGCAGTAAGAATGATAACGAATTCCCACTCCCACCAGCATACTCCTCCAATTTTCAAAAGTCTCAATCTGCTCACCATTAAGAACATCCATACTTATTCATGTGCCTACTACATACACAGAACAATACACACAAATATAAACCCTCCACTCAAACTTCTCCTAACCAACTTAAACAGGACACATGACCACAACACAAGACACAGATCTCTTTTTGATATACCTCGTGTCCACATCACACTGTGTAAAAACTATATGCACATAAAGGGCCCTAAAATATGGAATTCATTACCAGAAGATATTAAAGTAACCCAGTCTGAAAATCAGTTTAAGACTCTTCTCAAAAGCCACTTAATCACCCTAGACTAAATGCTAAATGCTCAGTACACACACACTCACCTATGTACTCCCACATCATAACTTCAACAATCACTTTGAACCTTTTATCCATTGTTAACAGGAATATAATTGAACCATTGTTTTCACAAAAAGCATTTTAGACTATATGAATATATTCTTTGTCTTATACAAATTTAATTCACTTATAATTAATAATCTACTGTTCAACTATGAAATAATTACTACCCTACTGTACAACTATGATATAATCCTTGGTGTTAAGTAGTCTGTAAGCCAATAATGTTAAGTTGGCCCATAATGCCTAGGCATAATAGAGGCTCTCTTTGCATTGCAACCCACTATTGTAAATATAAAATCTCAATGTACTACTATTTGCAAAGACATAAAATAAATAAATAAATAAATACTAAAGTACTTGGTATAAACCTTGGTAATAAATACCGACAAGTTGGTTTAGAAAGACACGTAAGCAAACACTATAACATATTTATTAGAAAATGTTTCGGTCCTGGGACCTTGATCACTTCTAACATGCAGAGGTAGAAGAACATTATATATATAGGCGGAGAGTGAGATGTGACGCACGTGACCTGAGGAATGTCATAAGAACATAAGAATGGAGGAACACTGTAGAAGGCCTACTGGCCCATGCGAGGCAAGTCCTTATCAAAACAACCTCTACCTATTATGAGGACGGGTAGACGATGAAATCATGTGACTCCTGTGTTGTTGGGTTGGTGCTGCTTAAGTATCATGTATGCCAATGTTTTTGAAATTTTGTAGTTTCCAGTGTTGCGTTCTATAGTGTCGGTGACGGCGATTAGTGAGGCTTCTAGGCACCGTCGGCGTCTGAGGTCTGGTTCGGTGAGAACGAGTTGTGCCTTGTTCCAGTTCATCAAATGCCCCGTGGAGTCTCTGTGGAGGACACAGGCGTACCTTACATTGTCTCTGTTAGAGGCATTTCGATGCTCATTCAGGCGGACTGCAAGATCTCTGCCTGTCTCTCCTACATATTTCTTGGGACAGAACCCACAGGGGATAGTGTAGACACCTGCTGTAGAAGTTAGAGGTGTGGGGCTGCGTTTCGTAGTGAGGTCTTTGATAGATGATGTGTTTATGGTGGAAACGTTGATGTTACTCATAGCAAGTGCCCGGAGAGTATTCGTGGCAACATCGCCACATGGGAGTACTATGAACTGTTTTGGGGGCTGTTCCATGGGTGGTTTGTTGAGGATAGCTTGTGCCTTGAGTCTGCGATCTCGGATGAAGAAAGATGGGAACTGAAGACGTGTAAAGGCTTGTGTTATGTAAGTGCATTCTTCTTCTAGAAAACAAGGGTTGGAGATGCGAAGAGCTCTCAAGAAGAAGCCAATGAGGACTCCTCTCTTAGTGCGAGTGTCTTGGTGTGAATAAAAGTGTATAAGATCATCCTTGTTGGTAGGTTTTCTATACACTTTGAAGAGAAGTTTGTCACTGTCGGGAGATCTGCACAGTAGAGCGTCGAGGAAAGGAAGTTTGCCATCATTTTCGAGTTCAAGTGTAAACTTTATTGATGGTTCAACTGCATTGATCTTGTTGAGAAGGGCCTGGATATTGAGACGTCTCGGATAGAAAACCAATATATCATCAACGTATCTTAGCCAGGTAGCGGTGTTGGGAATGAGGGTGCTGAATTTCTCTGTCTCCAGGTTTTCCATGAAGAGGTTGGCAAGCACAGCACTGAGCGGGCTGCCCATTGCCGTCCCAAATCATTGTTTGTAACAGTTGTCCTGATACTTGAAGAAGTTGAAATTAACACAAAGTTCCACTAGATTGATGAAATCTAGAAGAGGTAAAGGGAGGTCGTGGTTTTCAGTGAGCCTCTGTCTCGGAATGTTGATTGCAGCGTCAGTAGGAACATTGGTAAAGAGGGCTGTGGCATCAAAGAAAGCCATGCTTTTGTTTTTGACATTCAGGTTGGAAATTCGGGAGAGAAGGTCTCCTGAGTGTTTGAGGTGGGCTTGACTGATGGTGCCCAGAAGCGGTGAAAGGTATTTGGCAAGGTGGCCGGCTAGTCTGTGTGGTGCACTCCCTATGCCCGAAGTGATAGGCCGTAGTGGGATGCCAGGTTTGGACGACCAGAAATCATAAATAACTTATCTTCCTATACACTAACCGTCACCGAGACAGAAGCCCTCAGCCTAGGGCTCAAGTTTACTACTGGCATCAACAAGAAACATAATCTGGTGGATATGGTAACCAAGAACCAACCTTTTGGAGACTCCGAGTTTCAAAAGGGCTTTGTCCAAGGAATTATCACTGCTGCAGCTACTGAGCCTTCAAGACCGGTCATTCCCAGAAGATACATCCAAGCACTCAGGAACTTGGCCAACAACGATGATATCGTCATTATAACCGCTGACAAAGGAGGTGGTGTGGTGTTACTCAACACTGTCGACTACAACAATAAAGTCTTAAATCTTCTCAACAATGCCAACACATACCAGCCTGTATCGGAATCAGTGCTACTTCAAAGTACCCAGACTTTCCTTCAAAAGGCTCGTAGCATCTTACGAAAATCAGAACAAGGCAAAAAACTACTTAAACTTTTACCAGGTCAACCGAAACCAGCACGCCTGTATGGCCTTGCTAAGACACACAAACCTGGCATCCCACTACGGCCTATCACTTCGGGCATAGGGAGTGCACCACACAGACTAGCTGGCCACCTTGCCAAATACCTTTCACCACTTCTGGGCACCATCAGTCAAGCCCACCTCAAACACTCAGGTGACCTTCTCTCCCGAATTTCCAACCTGAATGTCAAAAACAAAAGCATGGGTTCCTTCGATGTCACAGCCCTCTTTACCAACGTTCCTACTGACGCTGCAATCAACATTCTGAGACAGAGGCTCACTGAAAACTACGACCTCCCTTTACCTCTTCTAGATTTCATCAATCTAGTGGAACTTTGTGTTAATTTCAACTTCTTCAAGTATCAGGACAACTGTTACAAACAATGCTTTGGGATGGCAATGGGCAGCCCGCTCAGTGCTGTGCTTGCCAACCTCTTCATGGAAAACCTGGAGACAGAGAAATTCAGCACCCTCATTCCCAACACCGCTACCTGGCAAAGATACGTTGATGATATATTGGTTTTCTATCTGAGACGTCTCAATATCCAGGCCCTTCTCAACAAGATCAATGCAGTTGAACCATCAATAAAGTTTACACTTGAACTCGAAAATGATGGCAAACTTCCTTTCCTCGACGCTCTACTGTGCAGATCTCCCGACAGTGACAAACTTCTCTTCAAAGTGTATAGAAATCCTACCAACAAGGATGATCTTATACACTTTTATTCACACCAAGACACCCGCACTAAGAGAGGAGTCCTCATTGGCTTCTTCTTGAGAGCTCTTCGCATCTCCAGCCCTTGTTTTCTAGAAGAAGAATGCACTTACATAACACAAGCCTTTACACGTCTTCAGTTCCCATCTTTCTTCATCCGAGATTGCAGACTTAAGGCACAAGCTATCCTCAACAAACTGCCCATGGAACAGCCCCCAAAACAGTTCATAGTACTCCCATGTGGCGATGTTGCCACGAATACACGCCTGGCACTTGCTATGAGTAACATCAATGTTTCCACCATAAACACATCATCTATCAAAGACCTCACTACGAAACGCAGCCCCACACCTCTAACTTCTACAGCAGGCGTCTACACTATCCCCTGTGGGTTCTGTCCCAAGAAATATGTAGGAGAGACAGGCAGAGATCTTGCAGTCCGCCTGAATGAGCATCGAAATGCCTCTAACAGAGACGATGTAAGGTACGCCTGTGTCCTCCACAGAGACTCCACGGGGCATTTGATGAACTGGAACGAGGCACAACTCGTTTTCACCGAACCAGACCTCAGACGCCGACGGTGCCTAGAAGCCTCACTAATCGCCGTCACCGACACTATAGAACGCAACACTGGAAACTACAAAATTTCAAAAACATTGGCATACATGATACTTCAGCAGCACCAACCCAACAACACAGGAGTCACATTATTTCATCGTCTACCCGTCCTCATCATAGGTAGAGGTTGTTTTGATAAGGACCTGCCTTGCATGGGCCAGTAGGCCTTCTACAGTGTTCCTCCATTCTTATGTTCTTATGACATTCCTCAGGTCACGTGCGTCACATCTCACTCTCCGCCTATATATATAATGTCTTTCTACCTCTGTATGTTAGAAGTGATCAAGGTCCCAGGACCGAAACGTTTTCTAATAAATATGTTATAGTGTTTGCGTACGTGTCTTTCTAAACCAACTAAAGTACTTATTTATTTAGAAAATTGATTGGCTTAAAGTATATGAAACAAAATTTATATGGTGTCAGAATTATTTTCACAGAAGACTTTGTTGTGTAGAAGAGCAAAATTTAAATACATTACTCAATAAAAAGTACTTTATGTAGTTGTGTCTTTGAACATGCTGCTGTTGCCAGTCATAGAGGGCCATCACCTATTCCACATTCACGTGTCCTTCGACACACTATTGCTGTGCCTCTGCTATAGGGCCATCACCACTAAACAGATCATCTTACAGAAGAGTCTGCATCAGTTTGTTCCTGATGAATAAACTAAAGACAAACTTGGTAAAAGGAAAACTAACCAGTGATACTTTTTCATTTAACCCTTTCAGGGTCCACAGGCCCTCTCAGGGACTTGTTCTCAGGGTCCACAGGCCCTCTCAGGGACTTGTTCTCAGGGTCCCCCAAATTTAAAAAAAAAAAAAAAAAAAAATTTCTTATGAAAAGATAGAGAGTCTTTTCCCGATCATAATGACACCAAAAGTATGAAATTTGATGGAAAACTTACGGAATTATGTTCTCGCGAAGTTAGCGGTCTCTATGATGTTTACGCATCGGCGATTTTGCCCACTTTGAGCCCTATTTTCAGCCAATTCCAGTGTACTAGTCGACAAAAATCATAACTATTTCGCTAGAACTATTTTTTCTATCGAATGAGTACAAGAAACCGCCCATTTACCGATTTCAACTATCCAATACAGTGGTCAGATTTTAGCAATTTTGCCAATTTCACACAAATTTCAAAAGATGCCAATTTCCAAATAGGGTCTAGAATAAATAAGAAAGACATTCCTGGCACTAAAATAACATTTCCTCTGTTCATTAGTCACATCCCCATGCCCCTCTTACATTCTTTTGCTTTCCATTTTGAATTTTTATTCTCACAAAAAATAGATTTACTGTTATGCAGACTACTGCATTAGTGTAGAAATGGTATAAATAATATCGGCGCACTTGTGAAAGAATATTAGACTCACCAGTTGACGTGTATTGGATGCTTAGCATGATTTGTTTACTTTTGAACTTTGGTAAAAATCGAACATTTCTGCTACTTTGAGCTCAATTTCAAGGTACTTTTCATTGTAAAACCAGTCAAAATCATTTCAATTTCTGTAATGTCTTCTATTCTATCAAATGAGACCAGGAAAACTAGAATACAACAATAAATACCATACGAAAATACAGTGCAAAGTCGCTGTTTTAATCCAAAAACACGGTCAAAGTTTTTTTTTCTCATTAAGCACTGTGTGCTGCAGGATATTTTTATACTGCGCACAGTGACCACATAGACCCATTCTTTCATATGTAGGCCTACCAGCTTTCTCTCACTAGATTTGAAGGCGCTAGAATTTATGAGTACTAGTACGTCAAGGACCCTGGCACGTAAACCGTACTAGTACGGCTTTATCCATTTACCCTGAAAGGGTTAATGGATAAACTTGTATCAGGATGTGATCTGTATATTGAAAATTAGATTGAGTATCATGAATGATGTTCCATTTCCCACTTTCATTAGTGGGGAGGCACTTGCCAGAAATGGTGGAGATGTATTACAGAAAAATAGTGTAAGTAATCTGTAAATAAGTCAAATGCATTAAAATTAGAAATAAAAATTTATTAATGAAAATACAGCATAGAAAATCTACTCTTGAGCTTTGTTGTCCTAAAATTGCTGAATTTGACAGAAGATATTCTGTTAATATTTCTGTAAGTTTGCAAAGGAATATTAGCTTTTCAGGTTATTATTTTTTATTTATCTATACTATATGCATTAATAATTAAACAATGCATTACAGTGAGCCTTGTTGATGTTGACATTGGCCAAACTGGAGTCCGTATCAGCCGCTTCGCTAACTACTTGAAAAACCTTGTTAACAGGTATGCTGCTAATGATTATAACAAGCATTAGTTTTAAAAACAAGAAATATCAATTAGTAACACAAAAATATTGGAAATTTGAGATTTGGTTATACAGTGCTTGTACTATGTAATAAAACCAATAGTACTATGCAAAAATAACCTTATGAGCTATCAATATCTTTTTATTAGTTTCATGTGATACTAAAGTGATTGCCACCCTTCATGTGGGTGCCTTCTTGTTGATGAGCTCTTGATCTAAGGAACTGGAGCTGCCCTTTCCTTTTTATCAAACATGATTACTTCCAATTCCCTGTGGGCTTAGCACTTCCCCCATGAATATAATAAGTGTTAGCCTAATATGTCTTATCTTTCCCTTATCGCTCTCTTACGTTTTGTGCTACCAATCTCTTTTTCCTTGGATCAAACTTTATCATATTTCCCCAGGTGTTGTATAACTATGGGTTTACCACTCCCCTATTAATCCTTAAACTGTCTGAACATAGATCTGTGTTCACATGTGTAGCGCTCCAAACTTAGATCTGCATTCTATTTTACATGCTTTCACCCTTAGCACGATAGGCCTGAGTTGCCTAGACATGAGAGAATGGGTCTGTGCACTCAGTGTGCGCAGTATGACAAAATTCGGGGATGCCAAGAAAAATGCGCTCTTCATTTTAAACAAAAAACTTTTTTTTTTCTCAAAATATTCAGAGCGCTATGCAAGTGAATGTAGATCTATATTTGGACAGTTTAAGGGTTAATATAATAATAGAAATAATAACAATAATATTAAAAAGTAATAATAATTTGTTCTGCTAGGTTTTTACAAATATCCTAAATGCATCTTCACATTCACATGTATTATCCTAAAATGTATTTTAGGAGAATGCATTCACATTTTAGGATAATACATTCACATGTATTATCGTATAATGCATCTTAATTTAAGAATTTGGCACTAGCTCGTTTGTGGCTGTTTTGGCGTTTTTTTTTTTTTCGGAGGAGGGGCTGAGGGTTTGTCTATATGCAGTGCTACAACAGTGAGTACATAGCACTACTTCAAATGTCATACACAAGATATCTGTCATTAGTTGGTAATCTATATAATCTCAGCTGAATTTCAAGATCTAGATTCATTTATTGTTTGATCAGGACATTTTTTGTGACTGTAGGTTCTCATTACTGTATTTAGATGAAATTGTTACCTAGAGTTATACTGTATAATAATGTATTTTCAATTTTGTAATCCCCTAGTTGCAGTATAGTTCCTGTGTGGTATGTAAATGCCTTCTCATATATTCTTGAATGAAAAAATATATCTTTTAAAATTTCTGAATTTTAAAATGTTTCTTTTTGTTATATAAAGCCCAGACACAGGTGTGATGGAACTAACAGCAAAAGCTGTAGGTCGCCTTGCTTTGGCATCTGGAACATTCACAGCCGAGTATGTTGAAGACCTAGTCAAGAGATCCTTTGAGTGGTTGCAAGGAGATCGTAATGAAGGAAGAAGACATGCTGCTGTAAGTCATAGAATTGCTGGTTTCAAGTTATTAGCAGTCATGGACGTGTGTGTAGTATGGCTTAGAAAATTTAATGACCGATATGAATTAAAAATTTATTTCTATATCTTTGTGTAGTACATCTACCATCCGACTTACAACCGAGTTCGGTTCCGAGAAACCAGTCGTAAGTCGAACTTTACCACTGAACATCAACAAAACATTTTTGTAATGACTTTATTTTATTGTTTTATTTTGCCTCGGTGGGAGACGGCCGACTTGTTGAAAAAAAAAAGAATGTTTTACTTTACTTTTTATGCTGTTAGTACTGTATTTTATACTGTAAGGTTTAGGATAAACACTGTGTACAACACAAATAGTTGTTTATTACCCAGAAATTTGGCATAAAAAACACGGTCGTAAGTCGAGTGGTTGTAAGTCGAGCAGGTCATAAGTCGGATGGTAGGTGTATATCCTTCAAGGGGAGAGGGGTGTTCCTTGATTCTGGTGAAGGGCTCTGGGCCCAAAGAATTGGAGCTACCTTCCTCTTCCTTGGATCAAACCTGATTATCTTCTATTCCTCTGGCGCTGAATGACCCCCCCCTTCCACTAATTAGTTAGGTTCTTCCCTCTGAAAACAATACTCGGTTCACCAAGCCTAAGTCGTAAATGGCTTATGAGTGAAAACTATATGTGGTACAGTATTCACCATTTTTTTACTATTGTATGTTTCATTTTTTGTACAGGTACTAGTGCTCAGAGAGTTGGCCCTTTCAGTACCTACATACTTTTTTCAACAAGTTCAGCAGTTCTTGGATGTAATTTTTCATGCTGTAAGAGATCCGAAGCCTGCAATCAGAGAAAATGCAGTAGCGGCACTGCGGGTTGCACTTACCATCACTGCGCAGAGAGAGACTAAAGAGATGCAGCAAACAATGTGGTATGTGAAATTCAAAATATTTTTTAAACCACACCAGCCACCTCCCACCAAGGTACAGTAACCCCCATAAAAGAGAGACATTCACCATCATTCATTCAGTAGTTATCTTGCTAGAAGTGCACAAAAATCACATTTCAAATTGTTCTCTGAACAGAAGGTCCCCATATCAGAGTGGAGTCACTGATTTTCTAGGGCTACAACCAATTTTTCTGAATCCTTTCATAAATGTTACCCTACACTTCAACTTCACATCACATCCTTAAAACCATTTACAGTGGACCCTCAGGTAACAACGTCACTGGATAACGTCAACACATTGGTTGTCTTCCACTGAGGCAGGATGACCAGAAAAAGAATAAACAAAGAATTGTTTTTTTTCCAACAAACCAGCTGTATCCCACCAAGGCAGGGTGGCCCAAAAAGAAAATGAAAGTTTTTCTTTTTACGTTTAGTAATTTATACAGGAGGTGTTGCTAGCTCCTTGTTTAACCCTTTGAGGGTCGACAGGCCCTCTCCGAAACTCGTTCTCAGGGTCGGCCAAATTTCAAAAAAAAAAAAAATTATTTTTTCTTATGAAAAAATAGAGTTTTTTTTTCTAAACATTATAGGATAAACAAAAAAAATTTACCCTCAATACTTACGGAGATATGGATGCATGAAGTTTGCAGAAAATGAGCCGCGTATGGCAACAGCGGCGACTGCCGCTCACCTGGTAAACTTTAGTTTACTTGTATTTGAAGGTTTGTTGTTTTTTTTCACTATTTTATTTTTTCACATAACTTATGTGGCCTATGAGACCAAAGTAAGGTGCAATGTACATATATACACTCGTTGTATACAACACAATAAGCACACAAACATAATTATCAATATATTGTTTAACAAACTTGTTTACAAAAACAAACAATACAAAACATTGTTTATTATTATTGTTCTATAATATATATACCAATATACAGTCACTGAACATATTCCTATTAGTTCTGCAGCTTGTGGAACTCTGAAACATGGTGTCATACACAATGGTGTTTTATCTTTCTCCCTCATTCTATCTCTTTCAATCTCTCTCTCTCTTTCTATCTGTCTGTCTATCTCTGTCTCACAGGTACACATAAATACAAGTATACATAGTATAAATTACCTAGGATAACCCAAAAAATCCAGACAAAGTTCTATACTCTGCTTGAAGATGTGAGTAAAGGTGATGACACAGTCTTGTGGCTCTCTGAGACAGAGAGCTAGACGGATAGACAGATAGACAGGGAGCTTGACAGACAGACAAATAGACAGACAGAAATGTTAGTGTACCAGTACCAGTGTACTAGTGTTCCACCCTCCTCCTCCTCTTCTTCCTCTTCCTCCTCTTCCCCCTACTCTTCTTCCTCTTCCCCCTACTCTTCCTCATACTCTTCCTCTTCCTCCTTACTCTCCTCTTCCTCCTCCTCCTCTTCCTCCTCCTCCTCTTCTTCCTCTTCCTCCTACTCTTCCTCCTCCTCCTACTCTTCCTCCTCCTCCTCCTCCTCCTCTTCTTCTTCCTCTTCCTCCTCTTCCCCCTGATCTTCCTCCTAATATTCCTCTTCCTCCCCTCTTCCTCTTATTCCTCTTCCTCCTACTCTTCCTCTTCCTCCTCCTCTTCCTCCTCCTCCTCTTCTTCCTCTTCCCCCTACTCTTCCTCCTTCTCCTTCTCCTCCATAGTGTAAATTACCAGGAGTCGGCAGCTGTCAAAATGACATATTGTCTCATTTCTCACTCCCCCCTCCCGCCTGTCAAAACAATGGGGTCGGATGCTGCTTCCCTTCCTCCATTCTATCTAATTATCTTTCTCCCTCATTCTATCTGTCTTTTTATCTCTGTCTCACAGGTACACATAAATACAAGTATACATAGTATAAATTACCTAGGATAACCCAAAAACCCAGACAAAGTGCTTTTACTCTGCTTGAAGATGTGAGTAAAAGTGATGACACAGTCTTGTGCTTCTCTGAGACAGAGAGCTAGACGGATAGACAGGGAGCTTGACAGACAGCAAATAGACAGACAGAAATGTTAGTATACCAGCAAAAACAAAGGGAGGGAAT